CGCTCAGAGCTCCCCTACTGCTCCATCACGAGCACAATTAATGCCAACAGCCAATAATATAACTGCATTTTAGCATGAATTCACATGATAAAAACCATACACTAGCTTGAAGTCAAGTGACTCAAATCAGAAAGAATGTTAAGGCAAAGGACAAGTTTGGAGTTATAGAAGTTCATGGTTTCCACAAGTCCATAAAAGTCTTAAAATACCTTAAATTGTATAAGAATTAATTATAATTTCAAGAGGTCTTAAATTTGGGGAAAAGGAACTGCGATATGGCTTAAGCTTCAAAAAGCTAAGATTTCATTGAATAAATATGAGAGCTGCATGTTTCAAAGCCCCCCCCCCCCCCCCCACGCATAAAAGGGAAACTCCGCCTATGATTGTGCTGTTACTCCTTTCAAGCCGAATTTCACAAAATTGGGTGTTATTTATGGGGAGTAGAATTATTTATTTATTTCAATGAATGTAATCGATTAGATATCATAATATTTAGGCTATAATATTATAAATCAGGTTGGTTTGTATTGCTGACGTAATATGTAAATGATATGTGTGCGGCCCGCGAGACTTGCACTTGGACCACAGTGCGGCCCGGTGGAAAAAAAGGTTGAGAACCACTGATCTACATCATCATCATCATCAACCTTCTTATTTCAACTCATCTACAGATAAGACTATTTTCTCATTTTTTATTAACTGTTTCTCCTCTCAACCCACACCAATGACTTATTGGACATTTCAATTTATCACACACACAAACTTGTTGAATTGTATATTTGCATGTATTTTATTCATATAGATTTTCAATATATGGTGTTTGAATACATGCTAAGAAAAATGCCACTCCTGCTTGTTTATGTATTTGTTTAATGAAATACCTTTTTACCACAATATCAATTTATATTACATTGCAAAACATGATACCCCCTTATTTCTGTTAGCTAGAGCAGTGCATGGTAACTGGGATGGCTATAGTAATGTAACTGCTAAGTAGAACGAGTTCTGCTGATAAGTTGAGTTTGTGATAAACATGTTATGGTATAAACAAGCTGATTTTGGACAATACTACTGTGTATGTGTTCAGGGGCATGGCCAGAAGGGTGGAACATGGTTGCAGCTCTGCCACCCTAAAAATGACTTTTGCCACTCCAAAGCAGAGTATGTGAGTGGAGTGGAGTGGGAGCAGAGCAGCATGATTTTGACTGAAGCCAGGATTACTTGAAAGTTGAGAATTGTGGTTTTCTCTCGCTCAGAGCTCCACTACTGCTCCATCACGAGCACAATTAATGCCAACAGCCAATAATATAACTGCATTTTAGCATGAATTCACATGATAAAAACCATACGCTAGCTTGAAGTCAAGTGACTCAAATCAGAAAGAATGTTAAGGCAAAGGACAAGTTTGGAGTTATAGAAGTTCATGGTTTCCACAAGTCCATAAAAGTCTTAAAATACCTTAAATTGTATAAGAATTAATTATAATTTCAAGAGGTCTTAAATTTGGGGAAAAGGAACTGCGATATGGCTTAAGCTTCAAAAAGCTAAGATTTCATTGAATAAATATGAGAGCTGCATGTTTCAAAGCTAAATGGCGGCGTGTATTTTTTTTTTTATATGGATTTATCTCTGAAGGGAAACGACTGTCTCCAGAAAAAGCTCTGACACATTAATTTCATCTGATAGTACAACCGTTACCGGGAAAACAGCTATATTTCTGCATTTTCAATAAGCCAGTCTGCGGTTTTTGTTCAGACCAATACGAAAATTGACCCATATTTTTATACAGCAAACACTGTTGTAACTGTGAACGGTTACTTTCTACAAATCTAAACAATTACGACGATAAGATTTAAATTAATATTATTTATACTTTTGAATCTATTTTCTTAAAAAACGGTTTAAAGGCTGAAATGTGAGGTTTATGGTTTTTATAAAAATACAATCTGCATACTCAAAATTAATCCACTAAATGCACATTTTAAACAGTTTAATGTACAGGTGGTTAGTCTTTCCAAATTAAAGTACTACCTACAGTGATTGTAGCATATGGTGTCACGTATCCGGTCCATGAACTTCCGTCTGCTAGCCATCAGAGGTCACCCTTTCCATTTCATTGACTCTCGCACTACACACTGTTGCACATCACCCCGGACTACATATCCCATTATCCATTGCACTGATGACACACACAGTTGATTGCGCACAGCACTGATTGCACACAACTGTAATCAATCACACATCCCCTATTTAACACTCACTCTGATCCCTTCCCTCTGCCGAGTATTGTTTAGCGAATATCATTGTTTAGCTGATAGCTACCTTACGGAGCCTGCTTAGTTTTCCTTGCCTTAGCGGAGTCTTGCTTTGTCTGTTTTCCTATGTTCTGATCTTTGCCTGTGTACCTGGATTTATCCCTCTTGTCTCGCCCTGTTGGATTCCGTTTGCCGTCGACTGACCCTTGCTAGTTTACCGGATTGCCCTTGCCTTGTCTTCTCGATACCAGTTTGCCGTTGGCTGACCCATGCCTGTTTCTGGCCACGCCTGTGAATAAAGCTTGCACATGGATCCGCACGTCTCACATCTTGTCTGCCGCGTAACATATGGACACACATACAAACAGCACATAGAAACAATCAGGAGCACAGAAAATTAGTCACTGCTGTCCTGTGATTTAACAATAGCATATATATATAATTTCTGCTTTTAAAGTAATTAAAACCCATTAGAGAGACGTTATTTCATGGTGTATTTTGTCAAAATAATTTACATAAGGCAAGAAAATGTTCTGTTGTATTTTCTATAAATAGTTTTGATAATAGGTGGATAAATTATATTGGTGTAAAAGGTATGGAAAGTGTTATGCATGTTTCATATGTAGAGTTACACCAAAACCAAAATGTTCAAATGTATACCTGATGGGCTTGTCTGTATATGTGTGCATCTTTCCCTATACATTTCTGACTGAAGTGTAAATATTAATTTCATGTCTTTGCTGCTCCTCTTTCCTTTCTGCACTGTCTCTGCATGGGAAAGGTGGGTTTCTATTAATCTCTGATTAATCTAATTTAATCTAATCTCATTTTTATACTTAGATTTTGCTTTTAAATAATATTTATAATATTATTTTCCATGTATGTTTTGTTATTTGCATGCTTTCACTTTAAGGTTATGATTAGCTTTCTGTGTCATTGAACTTGAAACATTTGCTAATTACATTGCATGTAACATTTACTTTATAGGATTTTAAAAGGGTGAAATCACACATTGTAACAGATGTTTTGTCTTGTCAGGTATGTTTTTGTGTGTTTTCTTTGTCATTTGTGTTGTTAATCTTTATATTTTTTATTTTTGCTGGAATGGTATCTGCCCATTCTGCAGTCTCTGCATGGGAGAGGAATTTAAAAAGGTGAAATCACACGTTCTAACACGTTTTATCTCGTCAGATTAAATGAAGACCAGCAGTTGATGTCCATCGATTTATCTATTTATTTCACCAACAACACGGTTGTATTGAGATCAAAGCGATGTGGATTGGTAAGCCATGTAATGCATGCAGGCGATGCTTCTCTAAAAACACAACACGGTCTTTGATAAAACTGTTGCATTTTATGAAACATTTTCTATTTCATGTAGGTCAAATCTAGAAGGAAAAAGAAAAATGTAGGTGAAACTAGCTATTAAAGGGCACATTTACTGCACACAAATGTGTATATTATTCCTGATCTCACTGCTGGCTAGTTAGAGGTAACTTAAATGCTTGTTACCAGTTTTCTTGAAACATTTGTCAAAACTAAAGGAGAAATAAAGCAGCTTTGCTTTTAATTGATCCAGAAGCATTTCACAGCAGTTTTTCATCAATGACACTCTTTGAATAAATAGTGCAACGCAGATGTGTATTTTATGTCCAAGGTTTTTAAAAATTGCAAGCAACATGGCTGTGTTTGTGTGGGACCTCATGTCAGTGAAGTGAACTGCAGAAATATTACAGGCATATTACGAGTTTTTTTTCTTCTTTTTTTGCAAAGCATGAATTTTATTGTCAACTAGTGCTGTCCACTTTATTAAAACACAAACAGGACAACAATAAAACCACCGCATGCATACACAAGTTCGGGGTCCGTTCTTCGTACATGGATTACTCCGTTAGATGGATTTGATTGTTGATGATTTGACATGATCCAGGATTGTTCGGTTCTTTGAAGCTCATCCAGGAGTTGCTGTCATGGCAACAGCTGAGCTCAAACCTGCTCGCGAGCGGCTAAATTCACATCAATAGGATTAGATTGTATCATTTTAAGTGAAGATGATACTGAAAGTCTGTCCCAGCCACTGCTAATTTCTTACAAGTGTACCTTATTAAACCAGATAAAATTATTTTAAAAGATAATTTTAAAATTATTTTGAAAATAATTTAAATGTTGCGTCTCTATAACAACCAGTTTTACTTATTGAGAGATTTATTCGTGAAGGAATAATTATCTCATAATTTTATTGCAGTCATGCACAAATGACATACAGTTTGTCTGAGCCGTGCATTCATTTGAATAGGGAGCTTTAATGCATCGCAGGAGATGCAGACTCGCTTCTCAAATCTCAAAAAGCTTTTATAATGCACCATTAATTTAAAAACAGTCAGTTATGTCTTAGTATTAAAGTTTCTTAATCCATCTATTGTCACGTATAACAAATCCGCTTCAAAATTAAATGAATTGTTAATTACAATGCTCTTGACATTGAAAAATGAAAAACCTGTACAAATACTAAAAAAATATGAAAAATAAATTATTTTTTAAAACACGGTTACACATTTTATTTATGTATTAGAACTTTTGTCGTTTTGCTGGCTGGGCTGTTTCCTTGATCTTAATTATATGATGTCATTACGTTGCCCTTTCCAATAAACATGACAACACGGTGTAATCTCAGACAACTTAATCCAGATATTTTAATCAAATCTGCTAACTTGTTTGAAGAACCAAATTAGCCAGAGATCAGTTATCAGGATTAAAATATCAAATTATCTCGATGTACGAAGAACGGATCCCTGATTTAACAAGAGCTCGGGGAACACAATCTCAAACATAGAACAGCTCAAAAAAATCTGTCCACAGTCTGAGATGGTGATGGTTTCCGTGGGTTTCCCGTCTTTAGTGCCCAGCTCTCCGATTCTCCTCACCACATCCATGCCATCTTTGACAAATCCGAAGGCCACATGCTTGAAGTCCAAGTGCTCTGCTTTCTTGAGGGTGATGAAGAACTGCGAGCTGTTGGTGTCTCTGCCGCGGTTGGCCATGGACAGCAGCCCCGGCCCCGTGTGCCTCACCTCGAAGCTCTCGTCCTCAAACTTTGCTCCGTAGATGGATTTTGCTCCCGTCCCATTCTGGTTGGTGATATCACCACCCTGAGAGAAAGTTTTTTTAATTTATAGTTTTTATTCATGTTTATTATGTTTGGTTTTAGTTATTTTAGTACTTCAACTTAAATGAAAATGGAAACAATCTGGAATTAATAATAATGATTTTCATATTTTATTTCAGTTAATGCTTATTTTACTTCAAGTAACAGAAATGTTTTTTAGGGTTTTAATTTGAATAATAATAACCCTGCTCCTTAGTTGCGTTGGACACAACTGCTAAATGAATACATGAACAGAATGTGCAGAAAAGTCTGCAGCAGAATAACTTGGGCATTATCGATAGATGTGCATTATTTGTTGATTTTATAGGTAACAATTGCAATAATGATTGCTTTGACATTGATCATTTATTTCAATGAACTGATCCAGACAAGGCATTAATGTAAACGAATATTCATGTTATGTTCATGTAGAACACATCATCAGTGAGTTTATATAACATAATTGTGTCCTCCTCACCTGACACACGAAGTCCGGGATGATCCTGTGAAAGATGGACTGGCGGTAACCGAAGCCCATCTCTCCCGTACACAGAGCCCGGAAGTTCTCCGCCGTTCTGGGCACGATGTGAGCAAAGAGCTCCATGACGATTCTCCCAGCATGCTCATCATCTATGGTGATGTCGAAGAACACCACAGGGTTGGAGTCTCGAGACAGCGCCTCGGCGGCAGACGTCTGAGCGGCGTCAGTCTGCGACATGCAGCTCTGGCAGTCGGTGAACGCTCGTCTGAAGGACTCGGCCAGCTCTGGAGTCTTGAACTTGGCCGCCAGCTGTTCCACTTTCCCGTCTCCCTCTGTGTGTGAGCAAACATGCAGACATGAAGACACCAGCAGCAGGGTGATGTGTGTGAGGTGAGGGTATTAGAACTTTTGTCGTTTTGCTGGCTGGGCTGTTTCCTTGATCTTAATTATATGATGTCATTACGTTGCCCTTTCCAATAAACATGACAACACGGTGTAATCTCAGACAACTTAATCCAGATATTTTAATCAAATCTGCTAACTTGTTTGAAGAACCAAATTAGCCAGAGATCAGTTATCAGGATTAAAATATCAAATTATCTCGATGTACGAAGAACGGATCCCTGATTTAACAAGAGCTCGGGGAACACAATCTCAAACATAGAACAGCTCAAAAAAATCTGTCCACAGTCTGAGATGGTGATGGTTTCCGTGGGTTTCCCGTCTTTAGTGCCCAGCTCTCCGATTCTCCTCACCACATCCATGCCATCTTTGACAAATCCGAAGGCCACATGCTTGAAGTCCAAGTGCTCTGCTTTCTTGAGGGTGATGAAGAACTGCGAGCTGTTGGTGTCTCTGCCGCGGTTGGCCATGGACAGCAGCCCCGGCCCCGTGTGCCTCACCTCGAAGCTCTCGTCCTCAAACTTTGCTCCGTAGATGGATTTTGCTCCCGTCCCATTCTGGTTGGTGATATCACCACCCTGAGAGAAAGTTTTTTTAATTTATAGTTTTTATTCATGTTTATTATGTTTGGTTTTAGTTATTTTAGTACTTCAACTTAAATGAAAATGGAAACAATCTGGAATTAATAATAATGATTTTCATATTTTATTTCAGTTAATGCTTATTTTACTTCAAGTAACAGAAATGTTTTTTAGGGTTTTAATTTGAATAATAATAACCCTGCTCCTTAGTTGCGTTGGACACAACTGCTAAATGAATACATGAACAGAATGTGCAGAAAAGTCTGCAGCAGAATAACTTGGGCATTATCGATAGATGTGCATTATTTGTTGATTTTATAGGTAACAATTGCAATAATGATTGCTTTGACATTGATCATTTATTTCAATGAACTGATCCAGACAAGGCATTAATGTAAACGAATATTCATGTTATGTTCATGTAGAACACATCATCAGTGAGTTTATATAACATAATTGTGTCCTCCTCACCTGACACACGAAGTCCGGGATGATCCTGTGAAAGATGGACTGGCGGTAACCGAAGCCCATCTCTCCCGTACACAGAGCCCGGAAGTTCTCCGCCGTTCTGGGCACGATGTGAGCAAAGAGCTCCATGACGATTCTCCCAGCATGCTCATCATCTATGGTGATGTCGAAGAACACCACAGGGTTGGAGTCTCGAGACAGCGCCTCGGCGGCAGACGTCTGAGCGGCGTCAGTCTGCGACATGCAGCTCTGGCAGTCGGTGAACGCTCGTCTGAAGGACTCGGCCAGCTCTGGAGTCTTGAACTTGGCCGCCAGCTGTTCCACTTTCCCGTCTCCCTCTGTGTGTGAGCAAACATGCAGACATGAAGACACCAGCAGCAGGGTGATGTGTGTGAGGTGAGGAGCGAGTGCTGCACCTGAGTAGTCGGTGGCAGTCCACACCAGAGCGTTAGCTGAGGTGTTCATGGGCTTAAGCTGGATGCTCGGGCTGATGCTGTGGTTGGCGCAGACTCTGAGCACCTGCTCGCGTCTCATCAGCAGGCGGTAGCTCTTCTTCACGGGGTGGAATAGGATCTTGAGGTCTCCCACGCCGCGCTCCTTCCACTGGTTGAGCTCGCGGTCCCAGCGGTAGAGTTTGGTTCTTTCTTTGAACAGGATCTCCTCGTCCTCCTCACCAGACCTCACCTCCACCTGCAGGAGCCACGTCAACACACATCACACCTCTAGAGACATGAAGACCACAGCTAACAGCATCACAGCAAACGCTCACCTCACGCAGAGACACGATCGCCTCAAAGTGGATCTCCTCATTATGGGGCGCCTCCTCATCATCATTGCCCTCCTCTTCTGCTTCACTGCGTGTTTTTTCTCCTTCATTTTGTGTCGCCACACTTCCGAAGACTGGGGCTCCGGTGTTTGACCACGTGAAGTTATCGTCTGCAGAAATAAACACATGATGAAAACACTACCCTGCCAATATCAATGCTGACAGCAGCAGTATGATAACACTAACACTTTTACAATACTAATTCACATTAATGTTGCCAATGAAGTCAGACACACACACAAAATTTGAATGGCTTATAAAACAGCATCTTTTCTTCAGTGTTTGAAATGTTTGAGCTCCGTCACAAGCTTTAGACAACACGGCTGTTCGCTAGCATCAAAAACAGTCTGTTAGGAAAATACATTATTATGAAATGCAGAAATGAGGGAGTCTTCGTGGAAACTGTTCATCATTCACTTTTTTCAGGCCATGGAATTAAAGTTGTAATTAGATTTTCTTTTCTCAAAAACAATGCTATGCATAGGTCTTTAAAAACCAAACAAAATACCCTATGATCTGCTTAAGGACAGCATTTCCAAAAGTCAAACAAAGATGAAATTAGATTAGAATAGTATTGACCTGTGTGATTTTAGACAGCGTTAACAGTATTTACAGTATGCAATACAAACACTTTTTATTATCAGAAAACAAATAGGCTTACTAGCACAGAATAAATATAGTGTTGTATAAAGTATGTCACAAGTGCTCTGAATGAATGAGAAATAAACCAAAATGTAATTTATTATTTTGTGTAAATATTGACCTCAATACTTACACTGATGAAAGCAGCAGTTCAAGAAAAGCCAAAAACATTGGTTCAAGTGACAGAATGATAAATCTTGCATGAAGACATACTGACTATGTAATTGTTTATTTGAAACTGTGAAAATGCTTAACTCATTGCTTAGCGCTACAAGACAACTCAGTAGAAAGCCATGTGAACTGGATTGCATGGTTTAATTTGAGAAATCAATCAAATGACCTTTGAGCTGCTTTTGTCTAATGACTAAGGCAGGTGAAGGGGGAAACACTGTTGAACAGGTAAACAGCACTCACCTTTTTTACAAAATGCAAGTTCTGTTGAACTTTTTGCCAATTCTGCAAATGAAAACACACCCACAGATGCAAATCCAAAGGTCAGACCAGCTGGGGGAAAAGCAAACACACGTCACGCGCTTAAGATTCAGCAGGCAAATGGTGATTTGCAGCTTGTTTGAATGAGTGTTGCTGAACATCACTCTCTGAGCCTGATCCTCACTCACTAATTCACAGCTCATATGCTTTTATCCTGTCCTCTCCGAATAGGGCTTACAGGCGATCATATGTTGAAAGAGTAACTGCTGAAATGTCTCACGGTTGGGTCTGTATCATGGTTTCTGTGCCATTCTGTACTTTCTATGTTGAGGGTAGAAAATGCTACATCCAATACTTTCTCTTTCTACCTCCAATTCTTGCTATTAATTAATTATTAACTACGACTTTTGCCTCAGTAAACTTCTAAATACTGCTTTATAATTTAGTTGTTAAGTTTAAGTATTGGGTAGAATTAGGGATGTAGAATATGGTCATGTAGAATATGTGCTTTATAAGTACTAATAAATAGCCAATATACTATTAATAGGCATGCTAATAAGCAACTAGTTAATAGTGAGAATTGGTCCCTATACTAAAGTGTTACCGATTATTTTTGAAAAACCTAAAATCCATACCTAAAGAAAATGTGTTAAAGCTTTTTGTCATTTTGTTGAAGGATTGAATCCTCTCAGGAACTGAATGGATGAAAATCAGTCTCTATACGACTAATATGGGCATGGGCGTAGCTTGTGGGGGCCCCCCCCCCCATAGCGATTTAAGAATTTTACTAAATATTTATAGAGTTTTTTCTATGAAGTAAAAATGCATATAATGCAGTTAATAATACATGTAAAAGTGAATACGTAAAAGTGAATACATTTTAAATTGTTATTGTAAGTAAATTAATAAATCAAAACAAACTTAACGTCTCCCTCAATCTCATTTGGCACTTTCGTCATCCTTGTTTTGGCAAGTCAAGAATGATTTGAGGTCCTTAAGCCCAGATTTCATTTCTTCAGCTTGCTTTATAAGCTGGGCCGTTCTGCCAGTGTTCACGAGCTTGTGAGGCGTCTGCAAAGGAATATCCAAAAGCAGTCGCTGACACTCCTCAAATTTCAGCTTGAACTCTTCTGCAAGCTGTGGTGTTTTGAATTTAGCAGCAAGTTGTTCTAATTTGGCATCTCCGTCTGAAAAGTCACTGGCCATCCACATCCAGGCTCGATCCGAGCAAGAGAGGGGCTTTAAGTTCATTGCGGTTGTGATCCAATGATTAGCACACACTTTCAACACCTGCTCTCTCCTCATAAGAACTCGAAGTCTCCCGTTCTGGTTATTCTTGAGCAGTTTAAGGTTGCCGACTCCTCTTTCTTTCCATTGGCTTATTTCCATATCAAATCTGAAGAGCTTGGCGCGCTGTGAATACATGACTTTCTCATCTTCTTCCCCTGTAACAAGGTTGACCTTCTCCGGCATCTGAACAACGGGCTCAAACTGAATATGGTCATTCTCCTCGGTTATGTACATTTCATCATCTTGATCAACAGAGGTGTCTGCCTTGAGGCGGCAATGAACTCCAGTAAAGAGCTGCTTGCCAGCCCCTGCAAAGCCTTTGAAAGCGGGATCATTCTGGCCAAACTGAAAACTGCCTTGTGACTTAGCCAAGTCAGCGAAACTAAAGGTGTTAGGCTTTCCAGTAATGAGGGGATTATTAGTGTGGCTATCAGCGTCTACAGACTGATCTGAGGAACTTGGGGCTGCCTCTTTTTCTTTCTCTTTGTGAAGCTCTGCAATATTTTTGAGGAGGTCAGATGCAGATCCATTTTGTGACTGTCTGTCTGATGGTTTTGCCTCAGCCTCTGCAATGCCAAACTTAAATCCACCAACAGGCGCCAGCATGGAAAACAAAAACCTGCTTGAGGACTTCTCAGCCTTCGTTGTAGAGGACTCAAACTTGAAGCCTTCTGAGGATGCTTTATCCTTACATGTGTCGAACTGAAAAGCAGGGCCTGGACAGAAATTGGCTTTAAATCCTGTTGCAGCAGGTTGGCTGCTAGAACTTCCGAAACTAAAAGTAAAAGAGGAACTTGACGGTGCAGCAAAGGTCTTGTTTTTAAAATTTGGGTTTGCTGTCTGACATGAAACACAATGGTTAGATGAACCTTCGTTTCTTACCAGGCAAGTATCACAATCCCACTGTCCATCTTTTTTACCAAACAAGGCAGCTAACCCACCTTGTGTTGCTGCATTACTTTTTTCAATGCTGCAGGTGACTTTGCAAACAACACATTCAGTTGCTGAGGCTTCATTCCTCTCTAGGCAGGAGTCACAGTCCCACTGACCCTCTTTCTTGGTAAACTGAGCACCAAATACAGTGCCAAATGGGACTGCTGGTGACTGGAGAGGTGGGGTGTGTGTTGATTGTTGGTAGGCATACATATGCTGCTGTGGAAGAAGTCGATTCATCCCTTTTACAGGGCCCTGCAGAGGTAAATAAACAATACTTTATTGATTCTCTGCCCCTTTACTCTAAGGTGTAATATATTGTGTTTACATGAAAATCCCTCCACTACCTTTGTTGGTGTAATTTTTGTAGCAGTATGTAGCGGATGTGAATAATCTGCTGAAGACTGGTTGTAGTACACAGAGGGACCTGTAGTAGCAACTGAGACAAATGGTCTGTTTTTAAGCATGTCTTAACTATTGCACACACAAGTACACACTCTTTTTTTGGTGATGCTCTCATAAAAACGACATTACCATATTACCCAACACCATCTAATCTAAAAATGTCCAAAAATAAATATTTCACTCAAATACTTTAAGGTCTGTTCACAACAAGACAAACATTTGTTCTGAAAATCAGTGCCATAAACATTGTAAATTTTAATGAATGTCAGTTAGTTCAACATTCAAATGCAGTAAATGAGACTGCATTTTGACTGAGATGTTTTATGGAGAGGTGTTTTAATCTCTTTTCCAGTAAGATTTGTGCCATAAATCCCTAATGTATTCATTTGTATTAATTTATCATATACAATTTATCATATAATTATCTATAAACACATATCTCTTGTGTAAGTGGTTTATGCACACACACACACACACACACACACACACACACACACACACACACACACACACACATCATACAGCTTGTCAATATGTTAATATCAATATAATGTCAATATATTATTATGTCAAGATAAAATGATCCCTGCATCCTAAGAGATTTCTAATATGATGTTCTCCATGATCTGAGATGATGATGATGGATGAATCTGCAGGACTTTACCTCTGTCTGAGATCTTCTTGAGCTCCTTTTTGCAGAAATCCTCCAGTTTATCTCTCAGCTCATGAACAGATTCTCTTAGGCCATCAAAAAAGAGAGAACTAAAGGAATCGTCATTTACGTCTGTAGATTCAGGAGGTGCTGAGAGAGACTGGAAACTCTACAGAAAACAGAAATCAAAACTCACACACTTCACCCAATAACCTGCAGGAACATCAGATTTGTGTGGCTCTTGTTGAATTGACTGACCTTTAGTAGCTGTGGAAATCAACAGACATGAACAGTGTGATTCTCATGATCCTGTATCTATTCCTAACACATTTCTAATATGATGTTCTCCATGATATGAGCTGATGATGGACTGGTTTCTGAGAGCAGATGAATCTGCAGGACTTTACCTCTGTCTGAGATCTTCTTGAGCTCCTTTTTGCAGAAATCCTCCAGTTTATCTCTCAGCTCATGAACAGATTCTCTTAGGCCATCAAAAAAGAGAGAACTAAAGGAATCGTCATTTACGTCTGTAGATTCAGGAGGTGCTGAGAGAGACTGGAAACTCTACAGAAAACAGAAATCAAAACTCACACACTTCACCCAATAACCTGCAGGAACATCAGATTTGTGTGGCTCTTGTTGAATTGACTGACCTTTAGTAGCTCATCTCAAGCCAGCGCTTTCACAGCATCAGCTTCATTCTTCTCATATTCATTACATCACATTAGAGCTACAGATTCTACTATTTGCCACTTACACTATATATGAACTTTCTATGAAATAGTTTGGATGATAAAACATCTGCTAAGAACATATATGTGACCCTGGAGCACAAAACCAGTCATAAGGGTCAATTTCTCGAAATTGAGATTTATACATCATCTGAAAGCTGAATAAATAATCTTTCCATTGATGTATGGTTTGTTAGGACAGGAACATATTTGGCTGAGATACAACTATTAGAAAATCTGGAATCTGAGGGTACAAAAAAATCTAAAAACTGAAAAAATCAATTTTAAAGTTGTCCAAATGAAGTTCCTAGCAATGCATATTACTAATCAAACATTAAGTTTTGATATATTTACGGTAGGAGATTTACAAAATATCTTCATGGAACATGATCTTTACTTAATATCCTAATGATTTTTGGCATCATTGTGACCCATACAATGTATTGTTGGCTATTGCTACAAATATACCCCAGCGACTTAACACTGCTTTTAGATTTATACATCATATGAAAGCTGAATAAATAATCTTTCCATTGATGTATGGTTTGTTAGGACAGGAACATATTTGGCTGAGATACAACTATTAGAAAATCTGGAATCTGAGGGTGCAAAAAAATCTAAAAACTGAAAAAAATCATCTTTAAAGTTGTCCAAATGAAGTTCCTAGCAATGCATATTACTAATCAAACATTAAGTTTTGATATATTTACGGTAGGAGATTTACAAAATATCTTCATGGAACATGATCTTTACTTAATATCCTAATGATTTTTTGCATCATTGTGACCCATACAATGTATTGTTGGCTATTGCTACAAATATACCCCAGCGACTTAACACTGCTTTTGTGCTGCAGGGTCACAAATGTCCATCTAACAGCTCAAACACATCAATGGAGTCTCACTGTAGAGCTGAGTAGATTTGCTCAGGAAAAGCAGCTCAAAGGACTAGAAACGACTATTATGTATAACTTTAGAGCGGTTAGAGACACTGAAACTTCACAAGGACCCTTAAGACACAGTCAGGTTTGGTTTCAATACTCTGAAGCATTGCTAATTTACAGTTTTGTTTCATTCTGCAATTATGAAACGTTTCTCTGTCACAGCAGGATCTGCTCAAGTCCACTATGATCCTGTTCTTCTAGATCTCTGTTACCTGCAGGAACTGGATGTGATCCTGTGTGTGCTCCAGCTGCTCCAGCTCAGCGTCTCTCCTCCTCAGATCATTGATCTCCTGCTCCAGTCGCTCCAGTTGTTCTTCAGCTCGACTCACTGCAGTCTTCTCCTGATCTCTGATCAGCCGTATCAGCTCAGAGCGGCTTCTCTCAATGGAGCGGATGAGTTCAGTAAAGATCCTCTCACTGTCCTCCACTGCTGTCTGTGCAGAGCGCTGTTAGGACACACAGTGATTCAGGCTTCAGTGAGTCTGAACTGAGACGGAGACAAACTTCTCTTCTTCTCCAGACTCACCTTATGAGACTCCACAGCCTCTCTCAGCTGCTGAAGATCTTTCTCTCTCTGCTGGATTCTCTGCTGGAACGTCTTCTGCGTCTCCTTCAGCTGATTCTGTAGGACAAACGGATGATAGTGAATCTCTCAGAAAGCTATTGTCACTAAATCATCATGTTGTAAAGTCCACCTAACTGGCCCATCGACCAAATGCAGTGGTGGCTGAAGGTTTCCTGCGTGTTCAGTCTTTTTGGTGTGCAAAGTAATTTAATTCCAGTGGTGTAAAAAGTACCTGAAAACCATCCTTGAATAAAAGCACAGATACCATACAGCAGAAATTAATTTATTAAAAGTTACAAGTGACCAATTCCTATATAGCTTTCACGAGTATGCCTGCCCATTCAGCCCTACCAGATAATGGTAAAAGAACCTGGCTTGCTGTTCGCGAAGGAGGCTCGAACCCGAGGCTCAGCTCGAGCTCAGAGTAAGAAAAAGAGAAGGAATTAGCAGAGGAGAAGGGGAGGTGGAGGGATGCCGGAAGAATTTTCCCTGGAACACAACAATGACTGCTGTTTATATACTGGCATAGCGATGATTGACAGGACTGGATGATTAGGCTCCTCCCGAAACTGCGTTGAGAAATTGAATAAGTAAAAGTCTTGGGATCCTGGTCTAAAAAAAAATATTAAAAACGCAAAACACACCTGATGCGAATTCTTTGCTCTTCATTTTCTATAAGCAGAGTTAACAGACCCTGTTGTATTTTCTTGTAATTTATTAAAAGAAGGTACAACGCCATCTTGTGCCGACTAAACTGACTTGAACGCACCTGATGTCGCAATTACAACTCGTAAGTATGAACGTCCCAGGAGGACTTGAACGCAGCATAAGAGTCAGCAATATTTAATCAGTGTCTAGTTTTAAATACCTGTTTCTCTGTCCTCTGTGCTGCAGCTGATACAATGTCATGGTTTTTATGTTCATCCATACACAGGACACATATACATTTCTGATCAGTGCGACAGAAAACCTCAAGGAGCTTCTCATGTTTCTGGCAGATCATCTCCTGCAGTCGTCCAGTGGCTTCAGTCAGATTGTGCCTCTTTCCTTTAAAGAAACTCTCATGTTGTTCAAGGTGATTCTGACAGTAAGAGTTCAGACACACCAGACAGGACTTGACGGCTTTGTATTTTCTTCCAGTACAGACGTCACACTGCACATCTCCAGCTCCAGCGTCACAGTCAGCAGAGAGTTTGGTCTTCTTCAGTTTCTCCACTAGTTCAGCCAGAATGGTGTTTTTGCCTAAAGCAGGTCTTGGACTGAAGGTCTGTCTGCACTGAGGGCAGCTGTAGACTCTCTTCTCATCCTCCTGATCCCAGCAGCCTGTAATACAGCTCTTACAGTAACTGTGTCCACAATGGATAGTCACTGGATCCTTCAGGAGATCCTGACACACTGGACACAAAAACTCATCCTGAGAAACTCTGGCTTCTGCCATTTTGCTGCATGAATACAGAGACACAAACACACAACAGCTCAACCACACTTCAGTTTCTGTTTCCCTGAACTCAGGTGATTCCTCTGTTTAGGTGACGTGTGTAAAATGGGTGTGTCTGAAAATCTGTAAACCAGGTTTCTCTTTCTTGTTCCTGTAAAGCCACACCTGGCTGTTATAAGGAAACTGTTATTTTGCTGTTGCAAAAACATCATCACATATGTGCTTTTATATTACATGTACCTTATTTTAGAAATAATATTAATAGCAATAACACTCAAAATGACTTTATATTGTAATTATACATACCTCCGCTTCAGTTTTGTGGTTTCATCGATGGTATATTATTAATTTGTTTTGTAAAGCTTTTATGTTCATAATCATTAAATACTATTAAAATACTGAGAACAAAAATAAACACACATTAACACGTTCATAATTTTATGCATTTATTATTTTTAGTATCTTCACGAGCAGCGTTTTGAGCTCAGATAAGATAATGGTCGTAGGGTGCCCTCAGCCGACCGTTAATTTTACATCAGAATGAATAATACGCTACCTACTGTGATTAATTACAATTTTTAAATTATCCCCCAAATTATCATAATTTTTGTAAGTTAACAACGATGCCACCTCAGTCAATTTGTAAAATATTCAACTGAGTTATTGCCTACATTATTTATATTAAAATATATGTATGAAATAAACGTTAAAGCAGAAATAATAAAGATGTAAACGACATTCAAACTCGCTCGCTCCCGCTCCCGCTCTCTCTTCCAGCTCGCTGGTTCTCCGCATTGGATTGTGGGAGATTGTTGTACACTCGAAATCAATACATTGTGGGTAAAAAGTAGTGGACGAATGTAGAGAATTAAGTCGTTCACTCAGAATTGGGACAGCACTACAAAATGGCTGACACCCGATATAGTGCACTATATAGTGGATAGGGAGCGGTTTCGGACACAGCTGATTCACATGCGTTTAATTAGAGAGCAAACTAAACTCTGTAGGAACGTGACTCTCCTGGACTGGGAATGTGGAACGTCTACTACAGTGGCTTTCAAACCTGTCCATGGAGTTCCCCAGCACTGCACATTTTGTAGCCTGTCCCTTTATCTGACACACCCACTTCAGGTCTTGCAGTCTCCACTAATGAGCTGATGAGTTGAATCAGGTGTGATAGATGAGGGAGACATACAAAATGTGCAGGGCTGAGGGTAGTCCAGGGCATTGTGCTTGATCAGTAAAGAAAAGCAAAGGAAGGAATTAATTTGAAAAGCATATTTAATAATCGAGTAGGTGGAAACTATAGTGAATTTATATAGACGGTGCTAAAACTCCAGAGACAGAAGAAACAGGGTTTGGGGTGGCAATTCCAGGGAAAGAAATAGAAATCAGTAAAAGAATATCTAATAAATTAGGGGTATATGCAGTAGAGATTGTGGCAATTTTAAAGGGGTCATGTGATGCT